CCCCAAAACCCCAAAACCCCAAAACCCCAAAACCCCATTTCCCAGCCATGGTATTGAGACTTGATAAATAAGCCAGAGAATTTCTTAAAAATACAATAATTTATTTAAAATATGGAAGACTCTAAAGAAGAAATCCAAAGGTTCCAATTTAGTACCGATAACAAGTTTATTTTGGTGAGTAATGACCAAGGGTTTGGGATCATCAACTCAGACCCGAAATATGCCCTCCCAGACATGAAGATTAGAGGTAAGCACCATTTATCCAACTTAGTGTAAATATTTAATTTAGAGGTCGGAAATATTCAGCAGTGACAGAATATCAATAATATTATTGCCTACGTGAGAGGAGGAGACGCTTGCCCAGGTAGAGAACTCTATATCTACGATGACTATCATAACCGGGATGCTTCCAAGATTCTTTTCAAATCACAGATCAAGTCCTTAAAAATCTCAATCAACTGGTAAGTTTTGGAAATAGCCAAAAATTAGTCGAAAATCTGACGAAAATTAAATTCTATTTTGATGTCATGGCTGAGGTTCGACTACTCAGCAAAGAATTTCTTTTGTGAAACTAATGCCTAATTGCTTATTATAGTCTGCTAGTAATCTTTGAAGAGAAAGCGTACTTATTCAGCTTCAAAACTGAGGATAATAGCAAGTGGAAAGAGCCCAAACTCGTCAAGAAATTCATCACCTGAAAGAACGAGAAAGGGATCGGCTGCCTGCATAGCTTCAGAAGAAGAAATCTGGTCATCCTTCCAGGGAAAACTGAGAATTCCATTCAGATTTATGATTGAAAGGAAGGAGAAGAAATCAAAGAATACGACCTTGGAGAAAAGCCTGACATACTTTCTGGAAATATACATGGAGAAGTCTTCGCTTACGCCAATGAGACAGGAATGGAAATCAATGTTCATAAAATCTCTGATGGAACCCTCTATAATAAATATTACAGAGGAAAGAAGACTAGCCAAATTACATCCATAGAATTTGACAGAGGTTGCAATAGACTTGCATGTTGCTCTCAAAGTGATACAGTCCACGTATACTCTCTAGGAACTGAACTTGCTATGAACGGAAGAGATTCTGAAGAAGCTAAAGACTCTCTTTTGATGTCAGAATCTGCCATTGATGGCTCGACAGTTTCCACTGTTCTTGAAGCAAGAGAAAACCCAAAGAGTAGTATATTGGGATTCTTTTCAACTCAGTCTGAACAAAGTTACTTAAAAGTATACATTAAATCACCTGAGAAAAGTATTGCTATCATTGATAACCAATTACACATCCTTACACAGGATGGAAAGATGCATTACATAGACATCCAGCTGGAAGGATCATACTGGGAAGACTATCCCCAAGTTCAAAAGATAGACCTTATGAAGAAGAATGAGTAAGAGTTCCCCGTATCTTTCACTTGTAATCTCACTCAATAATTTCTGTATTTATTTCCGGCATATTGCTCAATCTTTCTTATAAATTTAGGGGTTTTGGGGTTTTGGGGTTTTGGGGTTTTGGGGTTTTGGGGTTTTGGGG